GAAGCCACCACTGTTGGGAAAGACGGGGACGCCAACACGGCCTCGAAGGCGCCACTGCTTTCAACTCCGCCGGGAAGGTCACCAGCCGTTTGGTAGCGTATGTTTCTCAGCTCGCGACTGCTTCTGCGCAGAGCTGATAAGACGAGCGGACGAGACGACGGTGAGTTAAACAAGGTTTATGTACAGCATATATACAGAGGCGTTACAATTTCGGCACTGGGGCCGACAGAGACTCGAAGAGCCGAGCTCTCCTCTCTAACACATAGGTCAACTTTTCGCCTAAGACCGCCGACTCATACACATGTCGGCTCTCCGACACGGGGACTCCTCTCCCATAGGACCTCCGATCGCGACGCGCCGCAGGGCTTCTTTTATAAGCACCGGGTCCAACCAAAATGTCCAATCAGAAGCGACGCTGGTCGTCAGGGCAGATTCCGCCAATGGGGTCGCCGCGCCATGCGTCAGACCACCAGACACGAGGACGCCGGCTCGCTGTCACGTGCGCTGATGACTCAATGCACGTGGGCCAGGGAGGCGCCGCGCGTGTTCACGCCGTCGAGTTGATCGCGCCAGGCGGACTGCGGGCTGGCTTTGACCCAGATTGCCTTTTTCAGAGGCACGGACGTTTGATGAGGACTCGCTGGCAGAACAACCCCTACTTTTATATAGGCCACGAACGCCATTGCCACTCTGTCGAGCCGCACATATCCTACGCTGCGCACTCAGTGTGCTCCCAGAATTGTACAAATCAGCAGCGTTGCGGCCAAATATGACCGTGTCACTGTTGATATTGTCACGGTACAGCGTAAGCAGATCACCGAGACGTTGAGTTCGAGAACCGACGGCGTGTGTTTTTATGCAGGAGCCAAGAGCAAGAGACCTAAACAAATGCACGTCGTCTTCCTCAGTGTTCCTTTTCACGAGACTGTTGGCGCGCACATCGTCTTTGTTCTCTGTTTCGAGCGCGGCATTTGCCTCCCCTTAAAAAAGCATCACGCCGATGCTATAGCTGAGCCAGTGATTCACGCATAAAATCACTTTGTACAAGCGACGGTGCCTCGCAGAGTCACTCACTGACGTGTGGCTTAATGCGCACTACGTGCACAAGTTAAGGTTGGTGCTGGTGACGCCTTGTACAATTTGAGCTATCCGGAACGACTTCGTAGATAACGTCATGCACTTAGTCGTCGCAGCACTGAATAAGGTCCGAAGTATCTTTTGGGACTTTTAGAATAGTCCCCGTCTTCGTACAGACGTTCACACCCATACCCTGTCCCCGGTTTCATGCGTTACAAATGTATGAAGTAGGTTATAGCGACCTGCGTCGTACTCTTGCTGTTGGTATATTCGTAGACGTGCGATCTACCTGGCTTCCCCTGCGCGTTCAGTAAACGCGTCAGCACTCATTTCGTTGTCATCGCATTCGTGTGGCAGTATCGCGTCAAACATCGTCCTTACTTCTCGTCCATGAACAAGGCTGAATGAGATCATCCGTGTAGTTTCTTGTTTAGCTGTGTTGTATGCAAACGTTATGTAAAGGAAAATCTCGTGCAAGTTTTTGTGTTCAATGTTTACATACAATGAAAGCATGTCTTCCAAAGTTTTGTTGAGTCGCTCGGTCAACCCGTTGGTTTGTGGATGGTAAGCTGTCGACTTACGATGAATAGTATCGCTGAGCCCCAACACATAATCTAAAAGCGCGGCCGTGAATGCGGTTCCGCGATCTGTTATTACGACCGATGGCGCACCGTGTCTAAGCACAATGTTCTCTATGAAGAACCAGGCCACCTCCTCTGATGTGCCTCTGTGGATGGCTTTTGTCTCGGCGTAGCGAGTAAGGTAGTCCCTCGCCACTATAACCCAGCGGTTACCAACACTAGAGGTGGGAAGTGGGTTCAAAAGGTCCATTCCGCTCTGGTCAAATGGCGTTAACGGGATCTGGACAGGGTGTAGCAAACCGGCTGGTTTCGTCGGAGGTGTCTTGCGCCGCTGGCAATCGAGGTAGGTCCGAACAAGATGCTCCACGGCAGCGGTGAGTCTAGGCCAGTAGTACCTCCCTCGAACTCTGCCCAGTGTGTGCGTGTAGCCCAAATGTCCAGATGTGACCTCGTTGTGGCACGCTTGCAATACCTCAGAACGAAGAGTGGTAGGGACGACAAGCAGGTATTTGTACCCGTCTGACGAGAAGTTCATTTTGTAAAGGACAATGTTTCGTAGACAGAACGACGATAGTCCTCTTGCGAAGGCTTTGGGCGCATTCTGGCTTCCTCCTTCTAAATCAAGCCAAGTAGCTCAGGATCGTCATGCTGGTTATCTGCGAGGGTTAACGTGTCGAGAATTCCGAGGAACGCTGTCTCTTCATCAAAAGAAGGAGCCGACTTTATGGGCGATTGAGACAGGCAGTGGGCGTCCGTGTGTCGTTTTCCCGACTTATACAACATCGTTATATCGAATTCCTGGAGTCTAAGGTTCCAGCGTGCCAATCGCCCGGAAGGATCTTTCAGACTTGTTAACCAACTCAACGAATGGTGGTCACTGATAACCTTGAATGGGCGGCCGTACAAGTATGGGCGAAATTTCATAGGTGCCCACACCACGGCGAGGCATTCCTTTTCAGTGGTCGAGTATTTTGCTTCTGTGCGTGACAATATCATATCACTGTTACTGCCCTTAAAGGTAGGGCAGGTTTACCTAACCTATACCTACGCCGTAAGATTTCTATGGACTGTCCTTGTATCAAAGAATATATCATGTGTTTCCCGATAACACCCCAATTTAAGCAGCCCATCCTACTTCAGCCCGTACAAGCCACCACATTGCCATTTTCCCACCTGCGTGCACCACAGCCCAACATAATTTCTTTTTCGCTCAGGCCGCCAGGGACTGGAACGATCTTCCCTCAAGTGTCATCGACCATTTCAACACAGATAATTTTAGAAACGCCATAGGATCATTGTTTTATTAACTCTATATTGTTGCAAGACTGAAAGTTGGGCTAGTTGGTGATACATTATGGGCAAAAACAGCGCACAAACTCAAGGGACGAAGAGAAGAGACACAAACAAGCGCTAAATTGTTTGCCCGCTCGCTCATGTAAAGCCCTCTGTAGAGGGCCTTCGAGGTATACTAAATAAATAAATAAATAAATAAATAAATAAATAAACTAACGTTGCATATGATGGCTGCGACCGGAGAACGTGTCCGAATAATGCAATTTTCCGAATCAATAAGGGCCAAAATAACGAGCGTTTGCTGTATTGCTATATGTTAATTGATTTTCACTGACTGTATTTTTCATGAAAGACTGACCCCCTATGGTAGTACTGCTAAACCGAAGTATGCGCGATCGAATACCAGCCATGGCGGCCACATTTAGATGGAGGCAAAATACTTGACGCCCGTGCACTTGGCTCTAGGCGCAAGTTTAAGGACACCACGTGGTCAAGTTTTCTGGTGGTCAAGTTTTCTGTAGCCCTCCACTACATTGTCCTTTATAATCATATCGTACTTTTGGGATCTGAATACCAATAATTATTTGGCCAAAAGCCGTAGGTGCCTAATAAAACGGGAAAAGTTCACCGCCAGTGTCTATCGTCCCGCTGCGTTGGGGGCCAGGGAGGCAAAATAACCATCACGACAAAAATGACGTCACTATACGACCTCATGATGACTCGCAGATTACCGACATTGGGACGTCACTATCATTGCGACTTCATCACGGCGTGGCGGAAATGTTGTAGGCCCGTGTGCTCAGATTTGGGTGCACGTTAAAGAACCCCAGGTGGTCTAAATTTCCGGAGCCCTCCACTACGGCGTCTCTCATAATCATATAGTGGTTTTGGGACGTTAAACCCCACATATCGATCGATTCATCACGACGCCACAGGGATGTCATGTGACGTAAAGTCACATGATCAGGCCATTACATTGCATCGTAGCTTTGTCTGGTGTGGTCCGACCACGGAGGCGATGCAAAACCAGGTGAAGTGCATCCGATCTTGGACGCAGTGCTGAATCACGTTAGGCGCAGAAAGCTTTCGAATGGTAGCGGGGCAGCATTGATACATCTAAGATACGTACATCGACTGAGAGGAAAAATAAAATGGCTTTCGTCTTCGAGTCGTCTTGAACTCTGAGTTTTCATTATAACTAAAGAAAACTATGCAATTTATTTTATTTCAACATTAAAGAAAACATTTTGAAAGACGCAATCAACAGTATTGTTGTGGGGCGAAAGCCATTAAGGCTTGACAAAGACTATATATCTATATATATATATACATATATATATATATATATATATATATATATATATATATATATATATATATATATATATATATATATATATATATATATATATATATATAAGGGAAAGAAGTGTATACATAAGGGCTCGTTTTTCCGTGTTTTGACACTATACAATGAGATCTAAGAGACAATAATGTCAAAGAATGTATAGGGGAAGTTATTAGAACCAATGTAATCTAAATAAGAAAAAAGAAAAGTGGGTGAAAAAATAACTTGCCGTGAGCACGAATCGAAGCTACGCCCTTCGAATAACGCGTTCGATGCTCTAGCCACTGAGCTATCGCGGCGCCTATCCCTCCAGCCACTTTATTGGGTTAATATGTGAATTTAAACGTGGGGGTGTTAGTCAGCGCCATCTGTAGCCATGTCGTCGAGTGTGAAACACCTTTTTATGAGCCTGTGTAGCGTCACGTTAGTTATAACTGACTATAACGATGAGTTATAACCCATCCCTCGATGAAGGGAGGACTGTTGGGAAATAAATATATTTATCCTTGTTGACAACGCTCCCGTTGTGCAATATCCCATATATATATATATATATATATATATATATATATATATATATATATATATATATATATATATATATATATATATATATATATATAACACGTACTGAGTGATGAAACAGTACGCGGTATCTAAATGTTATTTTTGTTTGTTCTATCACTTTCCCAACTTCGCAGAGAAAAGCTGGACACAAGATGGCGGCCACCAGTCACAATCCGGAGAACAAAAGTGCCCTCAACAGCTCCATCTACAAGTCCTTCACCGAGAATCCCATCTATTTCCTGGCCAACTTGCAGGAGCTGGGTGACCCCCGCACTCGTCACTACCCTGTAGTGATGAACCCCCTGTTCGTATTTCCTCTCGTCGCCCTGTACGTATACTTTGTCAAGGTGGCTGGTCCACGCTGGATGAAAGACCGGCAGCCCTTTCGCATCGATGGTCTAGTGCGACTGCACAATCTCCTCATGGTGCTGGCCAATGCCAAACTCTGCACTTCGCTCATGTTATCCGCGTACCTTCCCGGTGGCAGCTACAGCTTCTGGTGCCAGGGAATCACTGGTCGTGTGGACGGCAGCTTCCAGGAGCTGTACAAGACCGGCTGGATCTATGTAGTGTTTCGATACGTAGACTTCCTGGACACCGTGTTCTTTGTGCTCCGAAAGAAGTTCAACCAAATAACGCACCTTCACGTCATCCACCACGTCATGGTGACGTTGAACGTCTGGTTCTGGGTCCTCTTCGCGCCGGAGGGTCAAGTGGTGTTCGGCCTGGCGCTCAACGCGTTCGTACACGTGGTGATGTACACCTACTACCTCCTGGCCAACATGGGACCCTCTATGCGGAAGTACCTGTGGTGGAAGAAGTATCTCACCACGATGCAGATCGTGCAGTTTGTGATAATAGTCGTGCACATGTCCATACCGCTGTTCATCGACTGCGGCTTCCCGCGGTACCTCATATTCATGGGTGTAGCGCAGACGTTGCTTGTGCTGGCACTGTTCCTAAACTTCTATAAAAAATCCTATATAGAACCGGAGCGCATGAAGGAGGCGCCAAAACTTACGGCAAGCAATGGAGATGCCATCATGCACAACCATGAACAGAAGAAAGATATGTAGTTTGTTGTTTTGTTTAACTACTTTGGAATATTACGCACTGAATGTCATCAAAACTGCAGTTTTTGTCGGGAGTGATTCGGGGATTCTTTTGCTGTTAACGCAAGATATGTCGTGCGAGTTCTGTAAGCTCGTAGCATTCGCTTCTTTATAGCACCGACGCCGTCCCAAAGATTTTTTTTCTTCAGAGAGACGTCGCGAAGACACCACCATATTATTGCGAAAGAAGCCTTAATACCCTGTTATTTGTACACTAATTTTCATAACGATGAGATATTAGCATCATTGGCTCAAAATGGTCGATCGAGTACTCCTTGATCATTTTTGTACATAGTGACGAGAGAAGAAGAACATGAGGGAAAAGAAAGGTAGGGATGTTAAGCAGTCTAGAACGACCGTTATGCTTTATAGTGGAAAAGTCCGTCGCAGATACAGAGAAAAAATGTACATGTTGGTCATTTTTGTGACCTGCTGTGTGTACCACTAGATATCGATGGCATTGATGACGCAAATATGTTTATTCACATGCAACGGAAAGAAGGAAAGGTGCCTCAGTCAGCAACTTCTGTAAGGTATTTCGCTATGGCCCTTACTTGTCTGATAAATGTCCCTTAAGAACTAAAGTAGCGCCAACCACACCCCTTCACCTCCACCTCTTCTCTCAGCTGCTGCAGTAGCACCCTTACATTGTCTTTCAGGAAACTACGGCCACAGGCCGACACAGGCATGCCACTTCCCGGCGAACAGGGACGGTAAGCCGGTGTCGTTGTGGAAGCAAAAGAATACGCGTGACCGAGGAAAGACAGGAAGGCGCTTGCACTACCAAGGCTACCAAGCGTAGGGGGTGGATGAACCTGCACATTGACACGAATGACGCTAGTTTCGTTACTTCTAGGGACTTTAGGTCGGATGAGTGCCCAGCAAACTATGGAAGCGTCGGTGCGAAAGATGCCTTCTCACCACCTTAAGATTGGCACGGAATGAAGGCAGCAGTGGATTCTACCATGATGGATAAGGTCGCAGGAAGGACGCGAGATCCTGAACAACTGTCGCTATAACATGTCCAGTACAATGTATGGATGCAGTGTGCATTTGCGCAAGTTCACGAATAAATGTGGAGCGTATAAGCAGGGAGTAGGAGGAGAGGTTTGGAGAGGAAGAGCCTCAACATCTGCAGCCCCATGAGCATGGCTCAGTGACACATAGCCAGGTAACAATCAGCGCACTCATTCTAAGTCCGAGTATGTGCGAGTACGTTGCAAACAAGGCGAAATTATTTTTCCCTGCATTTTGCCCACGTGACCTGTAGAAAAAGTGACGCGTATCAGTCATCTCATGTTCATTAAAACCCTTTATCATAGGTACCTGATCATATAAGCCTAAATGATCATACGTTGTTTCAGTACAGTCATACACAAGGCACAGAGAACTGTTTAGAGATTCTGGTAAATCTATCACTCGCCGCACTGACAACGGCGTTTAACGATGAAGTTATGCGGGGTATTTTGAGGAATGTGTCATAAATTTATGAAAAATAACGTGAATACTGCTTGCAATGTTCCTCGGTTATAACTTTGTTGTATCGTCTTGTAAGCTTCTTTTTTCACCCTAAAGATTGCTATTTTGGCCAGTGTGATCCCTATCAGCGTTTCTTTTTCAGCTTCTAGAAACATAAAAGGGGCATAGGCAGAGTTGAGAGCTTTCAAATGTAATTATCGTGAAACGTAATTCACGCTGTCACTATAAGGACAAGTAAAAAAAATGCAGTGTCTATCGAACAGGAGTGTTTTACAGGTAGGAGTTGACACAATTGAGAACATATTTATCTAAAACAAGGGCTAATGCTGAGCGAATATAGAGCAATATTTTGACATACTTGCTTGTTTTCACCTGGGCTTCTCTGTATATTTTCTCTGTAAGTGCAGTTTGCTATAAACTGCGGGACCAAAATGAGCATTTGTCCCTGTTTTTTTAAACCGCGATATATAAAATAGTACTAGTTTTTTCTTACCGCCAGAGAGCATCTGCCCTTTTCCTCCAGAAAAACAGTCGAGAGCAGGCAAGTTGATGTCAATTCAGCTCTTTCCTTGTGCTGCAGTGAATAATGTGAAGAGCGTTGTTCGTATTTTTTTGTAGCAAGTACTCAGAACAAAAGAGAAGCATTAATTAGAGAAAGATAATATCTTAGTTCGTTGGCCCTGAGTTACAATTTAGAAACTGGTACTGACAATGCCTGCCCGATAGGAAGAAAGAAAACACTGCGTATATCAATGGGTATGCGCATCTTTGTACGCTCGCTCGCTTGTTTGTGTTTGTGTGTAGCGCGTTTGCGCATAATATCATGCACGTTGCTCAAACTTCAACAGGTGCCCGCTTTAAAGAGACCATGCGATTTGCAATTGTGGTCACCTTGCAATTTGTGGTTTTCAGCGAAAAGTAGTTCTCTATTATGCCCGTAGAGATAGGAAACGTGGGCCGTAAAAAATATATCTCAGTGCTAAACGGGTCCTGGTATTCTCCGGCTGTCAATGCCGCTCACCGCTGGCGACCTCCATTCTGCCATAGCACCTGACACGTCACGTGAAGCAAGGAGCGATGTCATCTTCTACAGCTGTTTCAGCCACTTCAAATTCTTCAGCTTCAGTGCCAAGCTGGAGAAAGCTGAAATATCTCTATTTCATGCGCTGCTGACCCCATATAGAGCAATATCGTTCGCCGAAATGCTGATGCTCACACAGCTAGCTGCGTGCTAAGCACGGCTCGTGGGTGCACCACTGTCGCCTGAATCTCATACCGATCGCGTGTTTGTAAGTATTCAACTAATTATGAAATGGTTGACCAAAGAGTTAAACGTTCTCCAGCTTGACATAGATACCACCGTGAGGGCGCAACTAGCTGAACACACAGGAAGAAACAGGGAAGTTTATTGCACACTGTACAACAGGTCAGGTGAGTACAACCTTCTGGTGTAACAATATCACTTCGGTGACACGTACAAACAAGAGAACATAGACATGACGCAACTTAAAGCACTACAATACTCCCACAGATCACGAATTGTGTCTATAGTGTTAAGACGAGGACCTTTTTTATCAGCACCATGCGCAGGGGCATCACCACCTCAATTATGAAAATTTAAACCAGACGAAAAATAAATTGAATTCAGCCTCCTACAGCACAAATAGAGGTTCCACTTAGGCACTCGTCACCTGCTTCTTTAATGAACGGACTGTCGGTCACGCGTCACGCGTAACCGCGAGTGCCTCTCTCAGTCTCCCCGTCGCCGTATGTGTCGGATCGTTGGTGGGGCATGGACGAAACGAAGCAGTGGGGCGCGAAGGGCTCATAATTGCCACTACTTTCCGATTGACTGGTGCGCGCGCTTTGCCTGAGTGCGCGGGAAACGAGTGTCTCTCTCAGTCTCTGGATTGTCGCCGTGCGTTGCGAATCGTTGGTGGAGAATGGACCAAGCAGAACGGCGGGCGCGTTGAAGACGCTTGCGCTCGACTTCCTTCCCTATTGAAGATCGTGGGTGTTGGTGGATGCTGGAATTGTTGGTGGATATGGCGGGAATATTAGTGGATATGGTGGAAACTGTAGTGGGCTTAATGGTTGATGACGGCGAGAGTGGAGAAAATGATGGCAGATGGTGGTGGTGGTGGTGGCAAGCCAATGGTGGCGACGGTGGAAAATGCCGGCTGATGACGGCTAGAGTAGAAAAAAAATGGTGGCAGATGTGGTGGTGGTGGCGAACCAATTGTGGTGACGATGTAAAATGCCGGCGGATGGTGGCGAGGCAAAACGTGTTTGGTGGAAGGCTTGGTGAGCAAAGTGGATGACGGTGGCATGATATAAGCTTGGTGGATGATGGTGGCATGATGAAAAAGCACATGAGAGTATGTGAAATCCCTTATTTGTAGTGTTTCATTCTTGAATGCACAGAAATATATGTTTACGGTCAAAAGAAACCAACGCTGCTCATTACGCTTTCTGACATGCTTAGTTTTTTTATTCCCGTGGTGTCAACAACGCTTCAATTCTTGTGGAGCGTAGAATATTCGGCCGTGAATATGTTTAGATTTCGCGCACGTATACTTACATCAATTTGCCATCCACGATGTGTTTCTTTGTCGTGATGTTTAGAAGACTAGATGTGTCGCTATCTGTCCTGTCTTCTTCTCTCTTCCATTTACTTCCGATTTTTCATGGCGGCAAGGGTTAACCTTGTGTGGCTATCCTGCCTAGGATAAACCATATTCGGTTATAGCAACGGCGTACTGCTGGCGAAGGGCAGGCTTGTTCACATGTTCTGCCGCGTCCCCTTGTTGGGCTCCGTGGTGGGTGGTAGGCGCCGATGCCGAAGAAGCCAATTTTTCATGGGACCTCAAAACCCCCCTGTAACTGATCGTGCTCCGAAAAGAGTACGCACCGATGCATCATCTTTGTTTTTCCCTCAAAACGTTGAAACATTTCCAAAATACCATGTCCTTCACTGCGAGCAATCATCAACCAAAGCCAGAGCAATATCACCTTTTCTAGTGGCCAAGTGCCTTAAAGACACCATTGGAACCGGCTATAAGGCCTCAAAGATGGCAAGTGGGGACATTCTCCTCGAACTAAAAGACAAGGAACAGTACGACAAACTCTCACACCTCGTAGCCTTTGGCAATATCCCTGTATCAGTTACTGCACATCGTACCATGAACACAGTGAAGGGCGTAGTATCCGATGAAGACCTTAAGACACTAAGTGAAGAGGAACTCCTAGACGGATGGAAAGACCAAGGCATATTACATGTGCAGCGCATAAAAATCAGACGCAACAACACTGAAACCGCAACAAAGCACCTAATACTTACATTCAATTCAAACATCCTACCTAAAACAATCGAGACCGGCTACGTAAAACTTTCTGTGCGACCGTATGTTCCTAACCCGAGACGTTGTTTTAAATGCCAGCGATTTGGACACGGATCTCAGACCTGCCGAGGTCAGCTGACTTGTGGCAAATGCGGCATAACAGGTCACGAAACTGATAAGTGCCAAAACGATGAGGT